CCCCTCTCTCTCTCACTTTCTGTCTCAGGCCTACTATATATCCTTTGTAAAGAAAAGACCGCAGTTGGCGCTGGGTGACCATAATTGGCGCCATTTTGTATGTTCCACTGGGGGTGCTGTGTGCGGTGCCGCGAAGAGAAAGAGGAGGGTCCATTTGTTGCAAAGTCCTTGTATTGGGGGTGTCTTTGAGTCCGTAGATCATAGAAACTCATATTGTAAGCCTTTAAGGCTAGCTGTTGTGGCCCCAATTTCACAAAGTGTCCAAAACCATTAATTGATTCGTTATCTCTCGGTGTATCTCATGCTCAATTCGACGCCCTCTTGTTGGTTCCAAGGATGGAACAATTTGGGAACTTTTAAAATGAGGACTTCCCAGGTAGAATGTGAAACGCGTATTTGTAGTGTTTGGATTGCCCAGTGCAGATTTCTGGATGTCGAGGCATGTTGAGTCTTAAGATCGACCGCAGTTTATGCCGATTAAATATCTAGTTTACTTGAGGTGCACATTTTGACTGTTGTTGATTTTCTTGAAAACGCTTTACGGCAGCAAGAAAACTTATAACTTGAACGTCCCATATCTATTGTAAATTTTAATGTTTCTTCCATTTTTTTTGTACAGCTAGTTTTGGATTGTTTCTATTCTGCACGGATTCTGCTTTGATATAAGTGCCTACTTATTCCACGGAACTGAGGTTGTAGTTTTCCCATTTTTAATACTCCTCAGTATGCTGTCGAGTCTGCCACCACAGCTTCCACCTCGGACTCAGTAACCCCACCAGCCCCGACAGTAGGAACCACAGGTGTGTATATTAATTGTAATGTGATGTGGTGAGTGGCAGAAAAGAAATATTACTCAACGGTCCCAATAGTGATTCCTGTACTGCTTCCAACAGAGACGTTTTTACTTTTATATTGTCTTCTTACCGAACATCTGTAGAGAGTTCTTGAAGACAGCACAGCACGTGCCCCCCCCCCCCTCCTTTTTTTCTTGGGGGGAGGGGAGGGGGATCAAAGAAAGTACTTTCGTTCTGGCAATTGTAACAAAGCTCCTACAGTCACTAGTTCGGTGGTGTCGCTCACGGTTGGAATTTATGTCTCTATTTATAGCGTATTAACCCCCCCCCCAAAAAAAAAACACCAAAAAAAACAACAACAAGCAAACAAACAAACAAACAAACCCATAGAAGCGCAGGAATAGACGAGCTCACCACGGAGACCATCCTAGCATGTGGAGAAACTGGAAGAACTTGGCTCACAAAAATCTTCCAGAAAGCGTGGACAGAAAGAAAAGTTCCCGGCGACTGGCAAAAAGCGGTCATAGTACCAATCTGGAAGTCAGTAAGAGAGACTGTGGGATGTATAGAGGCATTTCACTGCCAAGCCATATGGGCAAGATGTTCGTCAAGATATTGGAATGGCGAGCAAGACACAAAGTTGAACCATTTCTGAGTGAGGTCCAAATGGGATTGAGAAAGGGAAGAGGATGCACCGACGCAATATTTGCCCAACGACAAATGTGCCAAAGGGTAATAGAACACAACGGGGAACTAAATATAGTATTTCTCGACCTGGAGAGAGCGTTCGACAGAGTGAACAGAAACAAGCTGCGAAAAGAACTCGAAAACTACACTGTAAGAGGCCAACTTCTAGATAACATCCGTGCCATTGACGAGACCAGCATAAGTACAGTAAGAACGTCAGAGGGACTCACAGAATGGTTCGAGATAACATCCGGAGTAAGACAAGGTTGTGTCCTATCACCACTACTATTTATCATATATATGGATAGAATTACAACAGAGGCCAACACAGAACCAGACGCCCTAAGTGAATTATTCTTCGCTGATGACCAAAGCCTGGCACACAAAGATGAACGAAGTCTCCAACGCCACACCACCAGATTAAACGAAGAATGTAACAACTACGACATGAAGATCGACATCAACAAAACAGAGACAATGAAAGTTAGCAGAAAGCCAGGACCACTCAGGATACAAATCAACAACAACAGTCTCAGACGGGTCCAAAAATTTAAGTACCTCGGAAGTACATTCACAGAGGATGGGCGACTGAACAGAGAAATTGAAACACGAGTACAAAAGGCCAATAATGTTAGTTACCAGCTTACTCCACTACTGAAATATCCTAATATCTCCATGACAACAAAACTCAAAATGATCAACACCATATTCATCACAACACTCACCCATCAATGCCAAACATGGACCACGAACAAGACATTACAGCGAAGAATTACAACATGTGAAATGCGATGTCTTAGAAAAGCAGTAAACAAGACCAGGCGAGACAAAATGAGAGACTCTGTAATCCGAGAAATGGTGGGCACAAATGATGTCATGCATCACATCCAACACCAAAGAATCAAATAAATGATTCGGACATCTCACGCGATTACCAACACACCATCCAGCACCACGTGCCTACACCCAAAAATTCGATGGCAACAAGGCTAGAGGGCGACCGAGAAAGACCTGGATAGATGGAGTCAGGGAAACATTAACCACCCACGGCATCAAAGATTTTTCGCCCTTGTCTTAGAAGGCTTGGTATAGATCTTTCCTACCAGAAGATCAAAACGTCGGTGCATCCTCTTCCCTTTCTAAATGTGGCTGAAAGACAGCAGTAAGAAGGAACCTAGGAGTAGCAGTAGAAAGGCTCCAGAAACTAACTGGAGCCCAGAGGAGGGGGCAAAGGAGGTGAAGGGGTGGGGGCAGAAAGAGGACACGAAGGCAGACCAGAGAACATTGTTAGAGAGCAGGAAAGGATGTGAAAGGAAAACATTTTACAGAAGAAAATGTTTTGTCGCAATCGGGATTCGAACACGGGATATATTGAATGAAAGGCAAACGCCTTAACCTCTTAACCCCTTAACCCACGAGAGCAACCCCCCCCCCCTCCCCTCCTGAAAGACACAAACTGAAGTGGTACAGGCACGTCACAGGTTCATCAAGATTGGCCTAGATGTTTTCCTGAATTCCTTTCTTCCTATTATGCTGTAGATTTCAACAGAAATACAATTTATTGAGACTTGTACTAAGAAGAATCTGTGAAGATGCTATTGATAAGAAGGGATTTAACATCCCATCCGAAGTGAAATCCCAGCTCACCAATATCATCTTCATACCAACCTTAACATACCAATGCCAAACATGGTCCCTTAGGTCGCATGAGGTGTCTCCGCAAAACCATCAACGTCACCAGAAGAGACAGCATAGTGAACAAGACCATACTTCAACAAACTGGAATACTACCAGTAATACATTTTATAGAGAGTCAAAGAATCAAATGGTTCGGACATTTAACCAGAATGCCCCAAAAACAACTAGCGACTAGAGCTTACAACACCCGAGAATCCGGCTTCAAATCAAGAGGAAGACCAAGAAAGACCTGACATGATGATGTTAAACAGGTCGTGGAACAACATAACATATCTATCACAGACGCTGCACACCTAGCACAGGACCGAAACCTGCACCCCCCTCCCCATGACATCTTAAGGATACCAGAGGAAGGAAAAGTAAAAGTACGGAGAGGGCAGAATGCTTTTAGAACCTTCCAAGTGATGACCTCACAAGCAAGTGTTTATTCAGTTTGTCGCTATACTATAGAGGCAGTCTTTGTGTGGAAAATAAGTATCATCTGTCCCCTGTCCAAGGTCAAGAGGAACATGTTCTTGGATGGGGTCTTTGTTCCCTGTTTACATCGTTACAGACTCGGCTTCAACTGCCACTTTATTAGTGTCGATGCGGGGCGTATAAACACATGCGTTAACTATTTCCCCACTTGCAACAGCCCCATCTTTCCCCTCCCTACTGCTCAAAACATGAACGTTTTTCTTCATAATAAACTTGGCATATAAATCGATATAAATTCAGTTCATATTATTTTGTGTACTGCTAGAAGTAGACGTTGAATATAGTACCCTTGCTTGAAGCGGAAGAGTTATTCCACGGACTTTGTTGTTGATTTGGGCAGGATTTACTAAAGAAGTGGAAGGAACAGAAGAATGAGATATTTGGCTGTTTTGAGTTACTAAGACCATGAGGTGAGAAACCAAATATTCTATCTGCTCTATCGAAATCGTAACATTATTGAGAGTTATTTTAAAGATATTCAAAGAAATGCATACGGAAAAAGCTTGACATGTGAAACTCAACATTTTTAACAACAAATTTCTCAAAACTAGACACTGAGCAGATAGAACTTTGTAATTCTGGGGTAGAAGTGAATAAGAAGCACATTTGTATCTGTCCCGTTCATTTTTTATCAGCTATGATGCACTTTTTTTCCTGAATGCTTTAATGTCCAATTACAATAACTGATATTTCTTTGAACACCGAGAGAAGCCTATAATATATAGCTATCTATCCCTTACATCGTTTTGAATTTTCATTTCTGTGAGTTTCTTTGCTTTATTGTTTGTGGCACTATAATATAATTTACGTTGTAATGTTTAGAAAATGATCTAAAATATTGTTGTCCATATTGTTTACTATAGGTAGTACAGTGTACCTTGTGTCTAGCGAAGTCGGTGTCCCATTTTTTAGATTACAAGTATATGTGTGATAGATAATGAACAGTCCCATGTTTGTTGTGTAATGTCCCATGTTTGAATTTGTTTGTATTACACAAGCATGTGTACATAATTATATGTATATACATACATTTTATATATATATATATATATATATATATATATATATATATATATATATATATATATATATATATATATATATAATATGTGTGTGTGTATGTGTGTGTTTGTGTATCTTTGTGTGTGTGACTGCGTGTGTCTGTGTGTGTGTGTCTGTGTGTATGTGTATGTGTGTGTGCGTGCGTGCGTGCGTGCGTGTGTGTGTGTGTGTGTGTGTGTGTGCGTGCGTGTGTGTGTGTGTGTGTGTGTGTGTGTGCGTGTGTGTGTGTGTGTGTGTGCGTGCGTGCGTGCGTGTGTGTGTGTGTGTGTGTGTGTGTGTGTGTGTGTGTGTGTGTGTGATGAATAATGAACTGTGTTTTGTGTTTCCTCCAAGATAGAAGTATTCCAATATAAGGTTCCCGCCTTTTGTTCTGTTGGTTTTCTGCTGGACTGCAATGCGAAGGTCTTTTGGGTGCTTTCTTGGCCCTGGGATTGTTTAACAGTTTTCATGGGTGTCTTAATACTTTGATTTCTTTCTATAACAGGTGAACTTCAGATCCGAGTTCCCCTGAAATAAAACTCTTGCCTTGATGGAGGCGTCGAATTATATCAGAAAAATTAGAATGCAATGAAAGCATTTAGAAAACTTCCAAATGCATTTATCATGTGTATTCAAGTGTCACAAGAACTATTTGTCTGAGCCCATATTATACCAGAAGAAGTAGAAAGTGATGCAACATGTAGAAACATTTAAAGTGCCTTCACAACTTTGAAAGGAGAGAATACAGCTGCACTGTTACTCTCTTGACAAAAAAACAACTTTGTTCTGGTTTCAGAGTATGTCCTCATCAAATAAAGTAAAGAATTAGTGTTCCGCTCATGTCTTTGTTATTACTTTTCAGAAGACCCTCCTAGAGGCAGACTTACTTGTTCTGACAATTTGCTGTTTCTGAGATATTTGTTGCAGCCGAGATGATAAAGTTGAACTGAAGTTTGGGTTTTGTCAAGTAAGAAGTGCACTGTTAGGATCCATGAAATCTTGAGCAATATTTGGTCTCTTTTATGGCTTGGTCTCGTGGAGTGGGTGAGTGGCGGGTGCTCTGGTGTGGTTTGCTCCTGCTTTCCTGTTAATAAAAACTATCCTCTCTCTCTCTCTCTCTCTCTCTCTCTCTCTCTCTCTCTCTCTCTCTCTCTCTCTCTCTCTCTCTCTCTCTCTCTCCTCCTTCATTTTTATGCTTGTTACTCTCTTGCAACATATCTAATCTTCGGTACTTATATGACCTTATTGTGTGGCACGTATTAAAACTAAAGCTGTCTTGTGGAGACACACCGGCAGAGTAAGTGAATGTATTGTAGGTGTGAAACAGAAATATAAACTCAATGTGTTATTGAGGAATTTTTTGAACGAGTTTTGTTGTTCCTGTTGGCAATTGTGGCCGTGTTTGGTTTTACTCAAACATATGATATAACATGTATGTGTTTCAGGAATGTTTCCTGTCCTTCCATACTACCCCTCCTCCTTTTCCAACTTAAACCATAGTATGTCAAGTGTGGTATATTATTATGTTGTCTATAATTATTTTTACATTCAGGGATTGGATATGAGCAAAGGTGCCCAACAGTGGAGACGGGCGGGAAGTGCTTTTTTCTTCCCGAGCGAGAAGACCGAGAAGCTGACCTACTTCTCGCTGGTCCCGGTCCCAAGAAGTGCTTCTCGTCTCGCGGCCAATTTCTCTTATCGCGCTATTCACGGGCAACTCGCTCAGCGACAGGGCCGGCTGTGGCGGGGATCTAAACTAGGCTAACCCTGTTGCGCAGTCGCAGGCGGTGAAGGAAGGTAGGGAGATCTAGGCCTAGGCCTTGATCAACTCCCCACTTGCCTCGTCTCGCCACCCTCTCCCCTCCCTTTCAGTTTCAGACACAGGACAGCACGGTGACGGGTGACACTGTCTGCGTGTCTTTTCTCGCTGGCTGTGCCGCTCTTTCCGTCGACACCTCTCACTCTCTCACTCTCGTTACTCGTTATGTCAAGCCAACTAGCGGTATCACTTCTCGGTACCGGCCAGTAGTTTAGTGCCCGGGAAGTGACAGGAAGGGCATTTCTCGCGAGAACCGGGTACTCTTCTCGGCTCGTGTCCGCTGCTACCCAACAGGATCAGTTGACAGTTGTGCTGAAAATCTCAAATGCATTGTCTCTGTTTGCAAATGCCAGGACACACACTATCACAATGTCTGCAACAAGTGTTTGCTCAGTGAGTAGGAATGGGATAGGATTTTGGTTTGTTTTTTTCCTGAACCGAAAATAGATTTGTTTAAGTCAACGTCTACTATCTCAGTATTTGCCTTCTTTTGTCCGAACGCATATTTACATGGATTCTACATCATATTTGATGTTTCTCTGCGATTGTCCGGTCTTTCTTATTGTAGGTTGTAGATTTTGTTTTCTGTCTTGAATATTTTTCCGACTCGTTACAACAGTTGTACTTAGCTCCCTGTACTCTGGTAGTTCTACTGGCGTCTGAGCTGTAGAGGTAGGGGCTTCACAATTGCACGCACCCATACAAACACAAACTCACTCACTCACTCACTCACTCACTCACTCACTCACTCACTCACTCACTCACTCATACACTCACTCACTCACACACACGCACATACACACACATACACACACACACACACACACACACACACACACACACACGCACACACACACACAGACAGACTCACCCATACAGGTAAACTCAGCATTAATGTATTATGTGTATGATGACTGTAACGAGTCTGTTATCTAGTGTCTGAATACTTGTTCTATTTAAATTATATTCTTGCCTTCTGTATTTTTTAATTTTGTCGCCCACCCACACCTTTTCCCCCTGCCCCAGAAATCAACTATGGAGGTGGCTGTACTGTTGCTCACAGTTGTAATCAAGATCTTCTGTGTGTGAACACGTTCTCTGGTGGAGGATATCAGTGTCTGTGTCCAGCTGGGAAGTACCATACTGGCGGCAATCTGTGTAGTCACAGTAAGTAGGACTATCTAAGACTTCACTAGATGTAAAACAGTAAGTAGGACTATCTAAGACTTCACTAGATGTAAAACAGTGAGTAGGACTATCTAAGACTTCACTAGATGTAAAACAGTGAGTAGGACTATCTAAGACTTCACTAGATGTAAAACAGTAAGTAGGACTATCTAAGACTTCACTAGATTGTATTTTATATGTAATCTCCAGTTCTACAAAAATAATGTTAGCTTTCAGAGAGAACTACAGAAACGGTCAGGGACAGAACAAGGTAATCTTTCTTCACACACATTACTGCCAGTAAACAGAATGACAGAATACATCATTTCCAGAGAAGAGAACAGCTATAAAGTTGTGAGTATGGACACCACATTTTCAATTGAATTTCTGACACCACGGTATTCAACCACAGCTTCTCCTAATGGCCGTATATGTGACTACCCAAAAAAGAAATCACAGAGTCTGTATAAATCACTAACCTCAACTGTCCAGAGTTCATTACCGTGTCACATAGTTCTTCACCAGGGTTCTGTTAGTTCTGAGGACATCTTGTAGATAGGCCAAGGTTAGTCAGCTAAAGAGTCAACTACACGGAACGGCCCCTAGCCTGGGTGATGTTGATAGTGCTGAGTAAACCTCCCACATAAATGTCTTGGGACGTGTGTTTTTATTACAAGGTTCTAGAAGTATTGTATAGTTCTCTCAGTAAGTGAGACGTAATCTGTACAGGTAAACTATATACAGTGATGCCAGAGTTTCCCCCAAAACCCCACTGCCCTATTGTGAGACTTGACCTATTTCTCAAAGCTCAAACAGTGAAAGTGGTACTGTAGCTTTCCTCTCCTGTATACAAGAGTACAGGGTGAGACAGATCTTGGAGGCAAATAAGAGCTCAACATTTTTTTTGCTTGCTCATATATAATCAACATTCAGTATTATAGAATTATGCCCATGTCCATAAAATCCCACCAAAACATAAAAACAAACTAACAACAAATCAGCAAATACCAACACAACCACCCACATATGTAGCAATGAATAAACATTTTAGTTCGTTGTTTTGTCCATGTTGTGAAAATAAGCCTGATTGTTTGTGTATGGTAACGGTAATCAGATTCTTTCCTCGAGTGTTATTACATTCTGTCTTTTTTATTTTACAACCACCTTTCCTTTTCCACCCTGTTCCAGAAATCCGCAATGGAGAGAACTGCACCAATGGAAATAATGAGAGCTGTAATGGAGATCTTCTATGTGTGAACCGTATTGGAATATATCAGTGTCTGTGTCCTGTTGACCGGTACCATTTTGGCGGTGGTTTGTGTAAGAACAGTAAGTAAATACGTGGGACTTAATTAGAAGTAGTGGCCCTTGTGCTTTTGTGTACTCCTCTATTCTGGGACAGCAATATTATCTCCCCTTAGACAATGACGTGACACAAGTAGAGAAGGTCAGGGGGCATAGGTCACTGCTGCAAGGGGTTTCTGATTTGACTGAAAACTGTCCTCATCTGCTCTTTTGACATAATATAAAGTGCAGGTCTTTGTATTGAACTTTTCATGTGGGAATTTTAGAATAAACCTGGAAGAGTAGAAATTTGCAACATCGTCTCTCTCTATATATGACATGAATATTTTACATAATGAAAATGATGTTCATTTTGTGTTGGTTTTTTTCTGTTGTAAGACATTAAGTTCGGTAATCACATTGTAAAGCCCATGGTAACTGTCTCTGATGACTCGCAAAAAGATTTTAATAGATGGATGGAAGGCGGCTCATGAAAATAATGGATCTTGGAACTATGGGCTCACTCTGAAAGTATTTGTTGAAAGCTGGTAACATGTGATAATGTGCAATGACATGAGTCTAGTGATTCTCTGGATCCCTGAAGGCTCCAATATTCTAGAATCTGACAGGGCAGAGATTCCTATCTTGAGAGGATTTAGGCAGGAAAAAACAACCATCCACATACTTTTCACTCACACAAGAAAAAAGTCCACAAAGAAATACCAGACTAGCCTAAATGGCCGGATGGTCATCAGGCCCAGATTTAGGCATGTGCTAGGCGTGGGGGGGCCTCGGGCCAAGGGGAAACTATGACCAGGTGGGTCTCAAGTTGGGGAAAGTAACAAGTAATAGGCGTTAACATTGTAAAAAGAAGAAACAACATGCAATAAAGGAAATGTAGCTAAAGACTCCATTCTTTTAATTAAAACTGAAAATAGCCTAATTTTGGCCCCTAAAAGAGTATGTGGCAACATCTGATGGAAACAAGTTTTTCCTTCCAAATGCTGTGTTGGAGCAAAGCCGTTTTACATGTATCTAAATCTAGTCCGGGACTATCCTCGTTCATCGATGTACTAGACTATAGCATCTTGTTGTACTGTAGCCAAAGATACTGTAACCTAGATCTAGAATCAAGATTCTACGGGTAAGGTAGGCTGGGAAAACATGGTTTCAGCACCGACAGGTCTTATCTCGACTAGGAAAAAGATAAAGTGAAGCATTTGATGAAATGAAGTGTAGATCTAGATGTAAGTCAGAGCAGGGTTCAGAACGGAGTTTGGCATTCAGAGGAGATGAAGAAACGTTTTGTTCACCAAACAATGGAAACTTCATGGGATTGTTAGAGCTTATTGCCAAGTTGGACCCGTTTCTACTTGAGCACATCAAGCAGCATGGCAACAGAGGCTCTGGCCAAACATCTTATTTGTCAAAAACAATTTGTGGGGAAATAATACAACTGATGGCCGATAAAGTTAGAAGTTGGGTTATCCATGACATCCAACAAGCTGGCTACTTGTACTTCAGTATATCAGTGGACTCGACACCCGACGTCTCACATGTTGACCAATCACTCTCATCGTTAGATTTGTATCTCCCGAGGACGGGATTCCTACCCAGAGGTTTTTACAGTTTTTAAACTTCAAGACCACACAGGAAACGGCATGGCAGAGTTGATTTTGAACTATTTTGATGAAATTGGGATGGATTTCAGTAAAAGTAGAGATCTGTCATACAACAACGCAGCCAACATGTCTGGCAAGTATAATGGAGTCCAACAAAGAATTTTGGGGAAAAACAATGGAGCAAAATGCACAGCGAGCATTGCCAGGTGTTGACGACAAAAGCCCCAGAAGAAAACGAAGGACACATGCGGGTGGTGGCCCTTCTCCCAACGCACTAGACAACTTGCCTGCAAGGGAAAGGTTCAAAGTGAAATCTTTCTTTACAACAATAGACGCTCTCTCAACAAGACTCATGAAAAGAGCAACTGTATACAAAGAAGTGTCAGGGAAGTTTTCCTTCTTGCAAGAATTAGATACAAACAGAATGAACATTCAAGACAATGTAGAAAAACTGAGTGCACAATACCCGAATGATGTGGAGCCGTACCTCGCGGATGAGCTTGTGCACTTTCAGAGATATCGGAAACAAATACATCCGGAAAAAGACAAACATGGCTACCAAGTCATGTAGAACGTGCTCACAAATAAAAACATTCCAGCAGTTTTCCCCAACGTCGGGACCACCCTCAGACTATTTCTTACCCTGATGGGGACAAACTGTTGTGGCGATAGACAGTGGCGGCTCGTGGTTTATAGAACTGACCGGCCGTCATTCACGTCGACTATTTCTTACCCTGATGGGGACAAACTGTTGTGGCGATAGATCATTTTCAAGACAGAAAAGAAAAAAGAATGAAGCAAGATCTACAGTGGCCCAAGGGAAGTTGTCACATCCTGAGCATTGAGTCAGACAATCTCAGGAAACAGGATTTCAATGACATCATTGAGTCAGACAATCTCAGGAAACAGGATTTCAATGACATCATTGAGTCAGACAAACTCAGGAAACTGGATTTCAATAACATCATTGAGTCAGACAAACTCAGGAAACTGGATTTCAATGACGTCATTGAGTCAGACAAACTCAGGAAAATGGATTTCAATGACATCATTGAGTCAGACAAACTCAGGAAACTGGATTTCAATGACATCATTGAGTCAGACAATCTCAGGAAACAGGATTTCAATGACGTCATTGAGTCAGACAAACTCAGGAAACCCGATTTCAATGACATCATTGAGTCAGACAATCTCAGGAAACAGGATTTCAATGACATCATTGAGTCAGACAAACTCGGGAAACAGGATTTCAATGACATCATTGAGTCAGACAATCTCAGGAAACAGGATTTCAATGACGTCATTGAGTCAGACAAACTCAGGAAACAGGATTTCAATGACGTCATTGAGTCAGACAATCTCAGGAAACAGGATTTCAATGACGTCATTGAGTCAGACAATCTCAGGAAACAGGATTTCAATGACGTCATT